GGTAGAAACCCCTGCTGCAGGGCGTGGGGTCGACCTCCAAGTTCAGGCGCGAGAGCGCGCGCTGGCGCGGATGTGGACTCGGGATTTCAAGGTACCGCATTAACTACGTCTGTTAAAGTCAAATGAGGAGTTAAGGGGGGCTTGAGGAAATACTGGTAATCCCAGAAAAGGCATGGCACGTCCAGTTCTCCAAGTTTTTGTAAAAGAAGAGTGGGAAAGCGCCACCATCCCGACTCTTAAACCGAGGAATCGTCGAGTCTCCCAGCCCCACCCCTGCAGCAGTGATGCAAAGAAGACAATCACCGACGTAGAGAGGAGGGAAAAAAAAAGAAGAAGAAGAAGAAACCCCCGGGAGTGGGGAGGAGAGAGGGGAGAGAATAGGCCCGGAGCAGTCTCCAATCACTGGGACGAGAGGGAGCGCCTTCTGGGAAAACGAACCCCACATAAATAATTGAGTTTGGAGCCCAGTGCTTTCAGAGGCTCGGAGCGCACCTCCTGAGCGTCTTCCGAGTTGAGAAAAAGGCGGAGCAGGGCAAGGGGCCGGCGACGGGACCGAGAGCAGCTCAGTTGGCGGTGGGACGCTGTGCCTGCAGACGTTCGCAAGAGGGCCAGCAGAGCCCAGCGAGCCCCGAAGGCAAGGAGCCCTCGCCAGCGGAGGTGGGAAGAGAGCTGGCCTCCTGAGGAGACGCTGCATGGGCACCATGCGTATCTCCGGAGGCCCCACCGCGGTGCCCGCGGACAACTCCAGCCAGTGGTGGCCTCTGTCCGCTGGTGGTGCCAACCGCAGCCGGGAAGCGGAGGCGCTCGGGGAAGGCCGCAGCCCACCGGGGGACGTGCGCGACGAGGAGCTGGCCAAGGTGGAGATCGCCGTGCTGGCTGTGACTTTCGTGGTGGCCGTGCTAGGTAACAGCAGTGTGTTGGTGGCGCTGCACCGCACGCCTCGCAAGACGTCCCGCATGCACCTCTTCATCCGTCACCTCAGCCTAGCCGATCTGGCTGTCGCTTTCTTCCAGATGCTGCCGCAGATGTGCTGGGATATCACCTACCGTTTCCGCGGACCCGACGTACTGTGCCGCGTGGTGAAGCATCTGCAGGTGTTTGGCATGTTCGTATCGCCCTACATGCTGGTGGTCATGACCGCCGACCGCTACATTGCCGTGTGCCACCCGCTGAAGACGCTGCAACAGCCAACGCGCCGCTCGCGCCTCATGATCGCTGCTGCCTGGGTGCTGAGCTTCGTGCTTAGCACGCCTCAGTACTTCGTCTTCTCCATGGTCGAGGTGGACAACGTCACCAAGACCATTGACTGCTGGGCCACCTTCATCCAGCCCTGGGGTCCCCGCGCCTATGTGACTTGGATGACGGGTGGCATCTTCGTGGCGCCCGTGGTCATCCTGGGCACCTGCTACGGCTTCATCTGCTACCACATCTGGAGCAATGTCCGCGGAAAGACGGCTTTGCGCCCGGGGAAGCGCGCGGAGGGCGCGGGTCGCGCCTTGCATAAGGGGTTCCTGCTCGCGCCATGTATCAGCAGCGTGAAAGCCATTTCCCGTGCCAAGATCCGCACCGTGAAGATGACTTTTGTGATCGTGACAGTTTACATCGTTTGCTGGGCGCCCTTCTTCATCCTCCAGATGTGGTCTGTCTGGGATGACAAACTTGTCTGGGTCGGTAGGTATCCGGAGAAAGGAGGAAAGCGCAGAAATGCGGCTGGTGTATGTGTCGGGGGACGGGG